TGCAAAAGAAAAGGAAGACCAAGAAGCGAGAAAGAAGGCCTGGCTCAGACAAGGGGGATAATCTTAAACCCAACCCCAACCAACGGCGTCCTGCAGCGTGCGCGTTTTTTTTTTTTTTTTTTTGCCGTCCCATCCATCCATCTTGGCCTGCCCGTCCATCCCCTTGGGTCTCTCTCTCTCTCTCTCTCTATCGTGTCGCCATGCCTCCGCAAGGTGTCATCGAGGACGAGATGGAACCTTTTTCCTAGGCAACGCATCGCACGCCGGGGGAGGGGAGCCGTCCGCCCGAGCCGTTCACCCTGATCCTTCTGCCCATCATCTATGTTATTACAAAACGGCCCGACTTCGGCACATCGTCAAGCGTTCCATGCGTACCGAGATGCGACCAAGAGCTAGGGGGGGTGAGAGGGAGAAGGGGTCCCCGTGCCGTTCGTTGAAGAATGCAAGTACCAAATGCCCGGCCCTGGTTTCTGCCACACCGCATTTCGCCTCGATCCTCGAATTTCAAGCTACTATCCGTACTTGGCCTTTTGTTTTTGTCCCCCCCCCTGGCTTTCTGTATCAAACCCCAGGTCGCCCACGTCCCACACCAAGAAGGGCCGGTCACGGAAGACGAAGGGAAGAGAGCGAGAGAGGGAAGATATCGTCAGCATGTCTGGCTACGACGGAAAACGTGCTCGACGGCTCTGCAGTCTGCATATCATCGGTAGGCGAGACAGACCTTCAGAAAAACATGCCGTTTCGGGACGGCTTCCCAGATTAAACGGACGTTCCCACCGACGAGTGTCAGGTGAGATGAACTGAGGATCGGCATCGAGATCGTTGTCTATTCTCTCTTTTCCCCTAGTCATTTTTTTCCTCTTCTCTTTCTTTCTTTATTTGTTTGCTTGTTCAACTCCCTTTGCGACCCATCAGTAGTCGCCCAATGCGGCTCCCCGTTCACTATCTACCTATCTCAGGGCTCTTCACCCCCACCCTTCGCGCACCGCCAGGCGACCTGGGTACATGCTCGTCAAACTTGAATCGTAGGCCCTCCCCGATGTGGAAGGTGATTTGCACGCGTGTCCGCTACGCATTATCACAGGCAGTTGCAATAGCACAACCCGGCTGGGGGTGTATATGTGTGTGTGTGTGTGTGTGTGCGCGCCTCTGGGCTTCAGGCCTCATAAGAGACCCGAGTCAGGACCCTTGCTCGCACTGCAATGCGGCGCCTTTTCCCGCCATCTTTCTCTCTCACTGTTCGCGGGAAGAGAAGGAGGCGGGGGGTATCGCGGGACGGCTGTTGGACACTCCGGAACTCCTACCGCCTTCCTTCCGGGTGGAGGAGGGCGGGTTCCGACCCATTTGCGCGTTCTCATGCTACGGGTTCTCGGACGGAGCTCGCCAATCACCGTCCCACGGAGCTGGCACCCGGCCGCCCACAGACTGTGGGATGGCTCTGGTCGCGAAGGGAGAGGGTAAGACGGGCGCCGAGAAGCTCTCCCCGGCGCCTCTGCCGAGTCATCCTTATAGTAGGAGAGGGGGTTTGTGGCTGTTTGCTCACTACACTCGATCTGTCTCCCAATTCCAATCCTCGGCTCCCTGGAGGCTCAACCTCGCTCGAAGATCGGGGCCTGTATATTCCCCCGGCTTGTGAACTGACGCTAATGATGCTGTTATTTTTCGAACCCAGTCACGTCCAGGCCCCAAGACCCAACGAGCGAAGCTAACATGACACAATTTCCATCACGCATCTATTAACGGGGGGGTGCAGTGGGGGTAAGGTTCACCGGCTGCTTGTTCTGGAACCTGGACGGCGGAGGTTGGGACGTTTTGTCTCACGTCAATCGGCGAGAGCCAATAGCCTACAGACTTCGAACTGCTAGTCCGGACTCAAAACAAATGGCATTACGACCGCGATGCCCTGCCCACCACGGCCTTTACACGACACGACCAGGTCTAGTCGGCGGCAGCAGCAAGCCAAAAGGCAAAAGGGGGCCATGCCTTATCACCATGTGCGTACGCATATGGTTCTGTGCCGCAGCTTGCTTCACCGATAGGGCGGTCACTCCACGTGGGGGCGTGTGCCCTGCAGGGTTCGCCGGTGCTTCGTGGGATGCATATGTATGCATACGTGATAAGGGGGTTTCCCCTGGGCGGAAGAGGTGCGGAGGACGTCAAGGGGGGGGGGGGGGACGCCCGCTTGCCTGGTCGCATCGCATCCGCCAAGAGGGGCGAGCGGGCGAGGCCGACGTGCGGCGATTCGACAGTGCCACGGCCGCTTCCGGTGGCGACGGGTTGCGATGACGATGTGTGCGTGGTGCTTGTACAGGCCTCAACGGCGTTCGCTCAACGGCTCCAAACGTCCTCCCCCCCCCCCACACACACACTACGGCAGAAGGGGGGGATCGCTCGCCGAGTCGGTAATTGCGAAAGCCAAGGGCTTCTCCGCCGCAACCCCAACGCTTTGGAACGGCTGGAGTTTTGGGCACCGCGGCCGGCGGTGGGGGAGGGGGGAGGCGCCTTCATACACAACACGGGAGGGCGGAGGGGCCCATGGAGAAGGTTGGCCGCCGAAAAGCGCCGATGATCGGGGCTGCAGGCCGGAGGTGTAAAAGAACCATGCATATAGCGCGTGTAAGCCAACCGAAGCTTGCTTTCCAGCGCTCCTGCCCCGGGGTCATACGAGAGAGACCAGCATATCGTTCCGATGCGACTGTGACGTGTGTTGCAGGCGCGGATCGGTGCTTGCAGGAGTCCGCCCTCTTTACCTACCTACCTACCTATGGGCCATGCCCCTTGCTCTCGGTGAGGACCTTCCTCGATAAAGCATGCTGCAATAGACACGTTTATCACGGCATATGATGCTACGCTGCCGGCTTCGGTGAGAACAGCTGCTCCTAGTTGAGTTGGCTACTGTGTGCAAGTGTTGAAGAAGAGGCCATAAAGCACCGTCAACTCGTGGGACCGAACGTAGACGTACGACACGCTATTCGAAAGCGCCCATGGTAAGTTCGCATGCCACAAGGTTTTTGAGAAAAACCTGTATTTGGCGGGATCAGGGGTTCTGCCCCCCCCTTTCCGGGGGCCGCGAGATATAAACTTTCCGCAAACCGTGATCCCGGTTGCCTGGAGACGCGGCCCTTTGTCTTGACTTATGGGCTGGAATGTGGCTCCCGATGCTTGGCACGACTTGATTTGTTGCTTGGGCCGGTTTGTGACGCGGGAGCCGCAGGGGGGGGGGGGGGGGGGGGGGTTACTTTGGGATAGCATCCGGGCAACCTGTTGGGTGGTTGCGGCGCAAGAAGGGAGATTCATGCGGTTTGATGGGCACTTGATTCTTGATCGGGGCTGCTCGGGTCCGAGGAGCCGAGGGGACTGAGAATCTAGATAGTTAGCTGAGGAACCGATGGATGAGTCGAAGAGGACGGAACTCGGCCTGCCGTGTTGGTGTAGTTGGCCGTTCGCCGGACTCCGCCGGCTCTTTTATATCGCCAAGTGTGATGGAAAAAACCCTCCGAGTAACGAGCTCCCAGCTCGCGTAGGATAGGTGCTCTGCTTTGACAGGTGGATACTAAGATACACACACACGCGTCTTTTGTTTCTCGGCCTCACCATCACCGAAGCCGCCATCACCGAATCTCGCCAGGGAATGAGTGCAGAACAGCTCGCTTGCGATACCAGCCAAGTTGACAAAGAGGCATGCTTGCTCGATCCGGTCTCGACAGGCGACATGACCGGCCTGGACGAAAGGTTGGAATAAAGTTGGGAGCCCACAACCACCACACCTGCCAGTCCGAGTCACGTCCGGCTTTGCTCCACACGTGCTGCCTCTTTTTCTCCGGGACCCTGAACTGCCGAAGGTTGGAAATGATCGTCTGCATGGATTGATCAAAATCACATTGTGGAAATTCGCGAGCCCGAGACTCGGAATAGCAGGTGCGGAGGCGGGGTCCGCGCCCGGATCTGAAAGGGGACTCCTTGTGCGGAACGGGCGATTGCCGCCGCTTTTGCTGCGTTTTATCGGGCGAGTGAGACTTGATGGGAGCCGGGAAATACACGCTCGAAAAGGTAGTCGGATGATAGTCTATTCCCCTGTCAAGAGAGGGTAGTAGAGTAGAGACATTGGGAGTGATGTGAAGCTCTCTTCCATGTCGTTGGGGTTCGCAGGACCGACGAGTCTCGAAGGGGGTTGCTACAGCCATAGACGGCTTTATGATGGCTTGCAGGTAGTCTAGAATTGGCCCTCCAGTGCTCAAAATGACTTGAGTATGATTGCGAGAAACTCGACGTGCCGTGTCATCTGGACGCGTTGTTGTGCACCTGAGACTGTCTTCTCATGTTTGGACACCAAGGCTCGTTTGATAAACCCGACCACGCCGGGCCAAGTTGATGCGGCATCGAGTCGCAGTGATGATTGGACGTGCAGCCCGTGAAGACGCCACAGCGTATTTCGTGTTCGCTGCTAGGCAGCAAACCCTTCGATACTGGGCCGGGCCCCGTCCGCGAATGCCCTCACCCGTCCCCCTTTACTATCTTCGACCACGGTTCCCTCTAGAGGCACACACGAATCAGTCTCGGGCCCCTCCTCCCCTCTGAAAAATCGACAACCGTTTCAAAAATTGGCCAGCCAGAGATGTCCTCAACCGGTACAGTGTCATCGGATGTTGAAGCCCGGTAGAAAGAGTGCCCCCCCCTCCCGTAGTCGCTCTTCATCCTCATAGTTCTGCCTCGGCCTGGTGACAACGAAGATGCTCTTGTGTTTAGGCGGTTCCTCTGCCGCTTCCGGCCCCCCGATACTTCGTCCTTCCTTTTATCTGGGATCGTTGGTTTCGACAAGGACATATTCCCCCTTGGATGGATGGTAAAGGCGGGAACGTGTGAGAGTGTCTGAGGCCAACGCCCTCCCGGATTGTGGAAAGCACGTCCATATTTCTAGCAGTTGGCTCCTCACATAAACTCATCGCTTTTTTTCTTCCTCTCCCTCTGCCGAAGCCCCCACCGCAACGCATGCCCGCGCTTCAAGCACCCAGGCGCCTCGCGACCTCCTCGAATCCGCCCTCGCCCTCGCCAACCCACACGTCGACCCACCCCCTCGCATCCTCGAAGGCCTCCCCGCCCTTCTCCCAGTCCTCCTCCCCGGGCCTCTCGACGTACACGGTCCGCATCCCCCTGCTCCTCGCCGCCATCAGGTCCCCCAGGTGCGACGCCACCATCGCCACCTCCCTCGCCCGGCCCCCTTCCCCAAGGAGCGCCCGCACCGCGCTGTCGTACACCACAGGGTTGGGCTTGTATGCCCTCCAGTCCTCGCCCGAGAGCAGCACCCGGAACCCGAGCCCCGCGAAGGCGTCCAGGTCCCGGAGGAGGGCCCCGTTGCCGTTCGAGAGCGTCGCCGTCACGAACCGCCCGCCCAGCCGCCGCAGGCCCTCCACCGAGTCTGCCCACGGCCGAAGGCGGTGCCACACCAGGCTCAACTCCCGCACCTCCTCGTCCCCGTACACACCGCCCAGCCCCCAGGCCGCCAGCAGCGCCACCAGGCTGTCGTAGTGGTGCGCGTCGACGTCCTTCCACGGCGCCGAGCCCGGGTCGTGGTCCCGCGTGAAGCTCTTGTACGAGTCCCGCCACTCCTGCGCGAAGCGGCCCCAGTCCGCGGCCGCGAGCCTGTCCCTGTCCTCGGCGGCGAGGGCGGGGGAGCCCGAGAGCCGCGCCCGAGCCCGGGACGCGAGCTCCTCGATGACCGAGGTGCGCCAGTCCACGACCGTGCCGAAGACGTCAAACGTCAGGGCCTTGAGGTTGCGCAGGTTCTCCGACCTGATGTTGGAGAGGTCACCCCCGATGCCGGACATGGCCTGCGACGACGGTCTCGCCTCGGATTCTCAATTGCCGGAGTGGGCTGTTTCGCGGCAGCCAGGGATTGACTGTAGCAGACGGAGTGTGGCAGAGGCTGGTGTGTTTGGGATACCGTCGGGCGCAGGTTTGACCGAGAAAGAGAGAAAGGCGATCATGACAGAGGTGATGCTTGAGGTTGGTGTCAAGGCGGGGTTCGGCAAACGCCAAGGGGGGAGGGGCACGCGGGTGCATGCTGACTGTACCCGCCCCGCCCGCCCGCCCGCCCGCCCACCACACCGGGTCCGGGAGGGGCCGAGTGAGACATTACCCGTCGGGCGGGCCAGGCTGACAAGACGAAATTTTTGACGTCAGACAACCGGTATCTGGGCCATGTCTACTCACGACCCCCCTAAAAGGCTCCTGACGCTGCAAGAGGGTAATCTCTGGCATCTTGGCAACACCGGACGTCACCTCTCGAGGACGGCACAGCCGTTCTTGACGTGCCTTTTCGGACACGATGCGTCAGGTACGGCGTGTGGGCAGCAACCAGTCCCGCCGTGTTCATGCAGACAAGATCATGGCCATGTCACACGGCGGAAGCCGGCGTGGTCGCGTGTCACATGGACGAACGGTACGCCTCCGAGTAGGGAAAGCCCCCAAAGAACCTCGCCACTCTCAGACGACGACGCTTTGGGGGAGCACGCCAGTCTCGGCCGGACCCGAGAACAAAGAAAACAAGGTCCGTATAGAAAAAGAAGAAAAAACAATAATAAAATAAAAAGGAGCCAGGGTGTAAAATTCTGCGCGTACAACTGAGACAACTGCATTAGTTCCGCGAGTCGACTCACCAAACAAACACACAGCAGCATGATGAACGAAGAAGCGCCCCCCAGTCGTACCTCTCACTGCGTCAGGGCGATGACCAGTTACAGACCCCTCTGCAACACATTTCCCTGACTCGCCCGTACATATCCCCCCCGAGGAGGGGCAGGAAAAGCAAGCCCCTTCTCTGGCGACGCCCAGCAACGTGCCAGGCAACCTCGACGTTCGGCTTTCAGGGCAGGCTCCCTATGCTTCGCCACCTTCGCCCCCTTCCCACAATCCAGTGGGTTGTCCAGGCATCAAGGGTCCCAAATGAGGTCTCATCTCCAGAAGCCAGGTTCCCACCCAGCATCTTCCTCCCTCCGAAGCCGTGTTTCCGCGTCGTTATGAGGAGCTGGCCAGCCGAGGTGAAGGTTTACATAGTGATGGATGAGATGACGGCGAACCCGCCCAACATGAAATGGTATTGGATACCCTGACTGGTCTCATCAAAGGGGGGGGGGGGATGACTCAACTGACCTTGTCCAATTGTCGTGTCTTATGCTGACTACCGGTTGATACTTATACTGTGTTTTTAAGACTGTGTTAGAGTATCATTTTGTACCTGTGCGGACCCTTATGAGGGACCGTCTTGGACATATGTCTCAGTATGTCAGTCTACCCTGACGCCAATTTCCAGCCGAGGGAGGGCACAATAGCCATACGCGACGCATCAGCCCCTTGACAAGAGATGGATACGATGCAAAACTGTAATGCTTCCCGTATCCTCGCCGGGGGGCGGTACGACTAGTAGTATGGTCCACACAAGGCTATGTTGAGGGAGATTGCATAGTTGCTCCCCGTATATGCTGTCGACTTCAAGATATCAGCACTGTGTTGATTATAAAGAGCGATAAAAATATACAGTACCGACGCGTTCGTCTTGAGTAATCGTGGCATTTTACCATTGTCGAAGAAGCGCACAAAAACGGATATTGCATCAACTTTCATCTCTCGTTTATCCCGTCCAGGGCACTATCCAGACTTCGACTCGCATAACAGAGAGGGGCGTAAACACACCGCAATATATGACCGCCAACCCATGCCCGACTCCAAGGCCTTTCACCGGAGGTCGTCCCTTTGCTAAAAGATAGACGGGAACATTCTCACAAACATCGGCCGTCTGCTTTCTCGAACGTTCTGAATTTGGAGTTTAAGCCCTCTTCTCTCCTTTTGAAGGCTATCGCCAAGAGGCTTTCCTCATCGATTCTTGACATGATATCTGAGTGAGGAGCATGAAGAACCTGGGATCGGCCGCCGCTGACAAGTGGACCAGGCTCTGCGTTCTGCGTCGTCCTGACAAGCTGACCGGGTCTTTCGCAAAGGCCCTTTCTGAGGCAGTCGATGATCCGTTTCGCTCCAGCGTCCGAACATAGCGATCTCATCAAGCCGTGCGTCCTCGGATATCCGCTCAGCGGCTGCAGACGTAATCTCGCCCGTCTAATTGCACAGTGACGTTTGGCGCGTAAGCGGCGCTCGCACTTCATGTGTGGAAGACACCCTCCTTGCAGGTTCACAGTCTCGGCCCCCCCTGCTCGATGCTGGAACCCGGCTAAAGCTTTGCTCGCAAGCGAGCTGCGAACCACCAGCGCGCCGACCTCATCAGTCCCTTATACCAACCGCAAGGCGAGAGAGGGGGAAGAGGCACCCGTTCCAAGATCAGGGCGACGATGTGCCGATCATTCCCAAACATGCACTGACGGCGCTCACGCCGTTCGGCTTCGGGCGATGTGGGAGATCTGGCCGCCCTCCCGCACCTGCACGCGGCGTTCGCATACCCAAGCTCCGATTCGAGGCCAAAGACGACACTACCTGAACGTACCTGCCTCCAGTGGCTGAACCATTCTTTAGGCCTGTACTGCCGTACACGTGGTAAAATCGTCTGAAACACTACAAACACAGCTAGGTTCCCGAGCAGATGGAGAGTTTGCGGAAAAGACGAGGTGGGCACGTATGACGAAACGGGGCAGCCGCGGTTGACAAAGAGATGAGGGGAACATTGGGAAATGACCTCCCACCCCACTATCTTTCACGCGAAAGGGGTTTGGCGGGCTCGTACAATGTAGTGCGACGCGATGTTGCTTTGATTAGCGACGGGGCACCGGCGATAATGTCCTAGACAAGCCCTCAGACTGCTGGCATCGGATAGATAGTGAGTTGTCGACTGATATGGCACACGGTCTGGCATGCTCGTCATATATTTTGGTCTTGTGATGGCAGAGATCCGTTCCCGCCATTTCGAGATGATGTTAATTGCCTTTACAGACCGTGCGAGGGACTGTGCAGAAGACCCACCTTGTATCCTAGGTACGAGGATATGCTTTCCGCTCCTGGGGAACGCCGACGTGACTGCACAGCATGTGTTTGCGGAAGTTATCAATCCCCTGCACATGCGTTGTGAAGCAGTCGTGCATTAGCGCAGAGGGGCTTGTCATCACACGCGAACGTGATACCAGAGTTGACCTGCAGATGCTCCGCTTTGGCCGCCACCAACGTACCGTGGCTTGACCGAGGTAAATAAAGGATGTCCATCGAGGCGTTGTCTGTCACCGTATATTCTCCCGGTCCCATGCGAGGACTCAGAATTAACACCAAGTCCCAACTCCATTGTCGTTCCGTGTATCCGTAAATTCCGGGACGTGCGAGTGGCGTCTGGTCGTCGAGTGGGAGATATGGTGGAAGGCGAGCAACTAATGAATACGGGCCGGGCATTACAATCGGGTTAGTCAAAGCTCTTCAACCCCCCCTGTTGGTTCCGTTGAATAAACGGCAGTCTAGAACACTGAATAGCGGGCCTCGCAGTATTAGACACAATGTGTTGTAACCCGACAATTACAATTGGAGCGCTGTGATTGGCCGCTTGATACTTGAGCATCTCGTCAATTCTTGATCGCACATCTAATCCGTCTAGCGGATCCTGTCGCGGTGTCTGCACTCCGTTTCTGCACGTCTGTTCACATGTGCGTGTGAGTATTAGATTTTGGTGTGAGCTGATGAGCCTGGGGCAGATATCCATATGGACAGCCCCACTCCCCGCGATGTTTGCTCTCCAGACGTGCCCTGGCCATGTCACAAGGGACATGTTCCCTGTGCCTGGTCATTGAACTGCAAGAACCCTGTGTTGGGCTGAGTTGAGCTGGAGTGCTTATATGGTGTGGTGCGGAATACGGCTTCATCTCCGAACGTGAGCCTGGCCCATTGTGCAGCCCCTTCCAGGTTCACAAGGGCTTCTTCCATTTCTCAACATGGAGCCATGGCCGCGCAAGCAAGAATGATTGAATGCCGTGCAAGCCACTCGGCAGGCTTACGAGCTTCCGGCGCCGCCGCATCGGCTTGCGTGTTCTTGTCATCTCACGCAAGCTCCATTCCAACTGGTCTACACTAGGCACAGGGATCATCGTTGTTGGGATTTCCCCTCACAAACAGCCATGGTTCCCGGTCGTTTGAGAGCTGCCAACTTCTCAGGGCGGCATCTTTGCCCGATTCCGGACGGCCGTTAATCTCTCACCCCATTGACGGAACAGGTTTCTAAAAGAGCAACATCTGCGCGCGAGTTTGCGGTAGCGGGCCAGCCAAATTCGACCAGCTGTCTCGGTGTCGGCCCGGGTGCTTTGGCAAGCATTTCCGGCGCCCAACAGCAAACGTGCCGGTTTGAGAAGCTGGACATATCCGTCGGCTAAGCGACACGTAGAAGCTGGCCGACTACAAGAAGCGAGAGCGCATGCTGAGGTGGCTGCGGCGTAGGAACTAGAAACCGGAAGGTGAAGATAGAATTCGTCATCCGTGCCATGCAACACCTCCGAGACAAGACGCGGGTTCTTGGGTCTGGCGAACAGACAGCGGGTAATGATCCGCCTCTCGGGAGGCCATGTTGGGAGCGAGCGGACGGGAGAGCCAATACGAAAGGGGCCAATGGCCGAACTCGATAAGGAATCGTATCGCGGTAGTCCCACAGAACATGCGGTTTGTTGGTTGCGCGAGATGAGGAAGCGAAGTTGGCTTGTTTGAACCGAGAACACTTTCGAGTCTATGGCTGAATGCATTGCGGGCTAACCAATCAGCGGCGCAGCAAATGCAGGATGCGGGGAGCAGCGAGGCGCGCAATCTCCAAGTCCAACATCCTGTCCTCTTCACTGTGATGTCGTGTGCCTGCGTCTGCTGCCCATGGTCGGACCAGGAGCAAATCTCTCTCGGCGTCTGGAGGCGGTCTGATGTGTGGACGTTGTGTGCTGGAAGTTTCCCCTCTTTCTTTTTCGTGGCTTGTTTCTGGTCGATCAGCGGCGGGCGTGTGGTGACACTCGTGGAATGTGAATCAAATGTGCGACAGAGCATGACAGACGACACTATGGTGGGCGACACAAGGTTGATGGCGGTTTCCTCGAGTTTCGACTCCTGAGTCACTTTGACTTCGCAGCACCCGATGGTCGAGAGAGAAGGAAGCCGGATGTGCTTCGACCTCAGACAGCTGCTGCGACTTGCTACTTTCATGCCTTGACTATAGTAGGCGATACGTCGGAAGCTCTGACCTCAAGATGGCGCTGCTGACGGGAAGCGGCAGTTCGAGCTTAAGGTTATTGGGGGACACATTTCCTTGGTCGGCGTTTATCTGGACACAACACAAACAGTAAGGGGGGAAGGTTCTTGTGTGTGCGCGTGCACAGTCCCCCCAAATGATTGGCAGTCGGTATATGTGGTGGCCTGTATACATACACATTTCTATAGTGTAGACGCGACGCGAGGTGACCACTGACAGCAGGGGAAGCTGCTGTCAGGAAATTTGGTTATTACTGTGACCGTGATGTCGCGCTTCTTTGGGTGGAGGGCCGGGAAGGCAGCCGAGGGCGCGAGGATCGACAACATTGTCAATGTAATAGAGGAAAAAAGAAAGGAGGTAAGGCGATGACAAGCCATTGCGACACGAGAGGCCATAGCGCAAGTCATCCAGGCGTCTCCAGCCCGCCGTGGGCCGTGGATTGGATCGCTCGCTGTAAGCCCTTAGCCCAGACCTGGCCCCTGTATCCGTACTAGTCAGCATGACTCCATACGCACATGGCACAGGTGGGGGGAGGGGGGGGGAGGCCGAACTGTGGTGGAAATTCCATCGCTATTATTACCTTGAGACGTGTGTTTGCACAATGTTGGGCGGCGTGTTGGGTAGGGATCACCGAGAGGTGGTTGCGTGGGGAAGGAAGGGTACCTAGTGGCAGCTTGGAAAGTAATAGGTACCATGGCTTGCAAGTCGGAACGTTGAAGGTGAGTGATGGCGCAAGGAACAGCCGGTGTCGAAGGGTATGATCAGCGCAGCGAGGAAATTGCTGGCTTCATACTCTGTACTGCTGTGATGTTGGAAGGAATCCTATTCGACGGAGCAGATGGCCAATGGAAGAGAGGGGGAAAGAGAGAGAGAGAGAGAGAGACGGCAAGCTGGACGACCAAAGATGGATTAGCGGGAGAAACTGCTTCCTTCCTTTCCGCTGGGCATCCGTTCCTTCCGCCACCCCGGATGCTCGCTTGTTCATCCATCTGTCCTGGTGGGCGTAGTATGTGCAGAGGCAGGTGGAAGTATCCGTACTAGGTATGTAAATGTACAGTACTACGTAAGTACGGATAACTGCGTCCTGCTTCTCTGTCTCCTTGGACCTGACCCCCCCTGGAAGGGGCTCTTATGCTCAGCGTTCTTTCCTGCCTAAATGGCTCAACGCTCCCCACTTCTCGTCGACCAAAAAGCGTTAGTGGGCGATTTGAAGAGCTGCCACAAGTCCCAACTGAGATGAGCGCCCCGCCCCACCCCCCCTGGTCGCGCCTTGTCCGGATGGCGTTGCAACTTTCCAGTTGGAACGCGGGAAACCAAGGGGGCCATTGTTGGAAAGCAATTTGTATGGTCGGAACCAAAAAACCTTCGTGCCTGGCATGTGGACAAGGTTGACCACTCGCCTCCCAAGATCGGAGACCACCAGTTGGTAATCTTGGTTAAGCCTACCCGCCGCTGTTTCACGGGGGGATTTTTGTTTCCTGAAAAAGGGCAGGGAATGCGCTCTCGTCGACTCATGCTGGAAAGTCCCGGCCTGTAGTTCCTTCTCTAATTAGTGTTTGGTGTATACTAGTCAAGAGGCAAGAAAGGGGGAGGAGCATCCACGGATCACCGCTTGTAACCGAGTTGGGTATCAAGTCGCACCGGCATACCTACAATAGTACGGATAGTACTCCGTAGGCATTAATATATCCGTACTCCAACAGTAACTAACGGTCAAAAAATGACCGACGGCGCGACGTTACAGGTTCGTTTGTCCAAGACAAGACCCTCCCGCCCCTGCTCTTGTTCTCCAATGATTGTCTTTATATGACTCTAGCCGAGTACGGTTAGTCGGGTTAGTCCTGTCTCCGTCTGTTCTGCAGTGGACCTTGCTGGATGGTATGCCTCCTTTCCCTGCTCAGCATTCGAAACCGCTGCTTTCGGTAACGCATAACATACAGGCAGGCTACTACGTAGTAACACAGAAAAGGGGACCATGTGTGTGAAGTGAGCATATCACTCAAGACCTCATGACATGGTTTTGCGACACATGGACCGGCGCCTGCAAAGGAGAAACAAATGGTCTCACAAGAATGTCAGATTGCGTGCATCTCCCGACAGTCGGTCGTGTCTCTCCACTTTGCCGTGGCTGGACCCGTCTTCTCCCCAGGCCTGACTTGATTTATTCCCATGTCGACACACACTGGCCCTTCCTTCTCGTTTCCTCCATGTCATCCGATTTTTTTTTTTTTGATTTTTTTTTTGTTCGCTTCCCAATCGCAGTCATGATCGCTGGATTTTCCCACTTTTCACCCCGATTTAGACAATCCCAGAAGCCAGGGTGGGTGCGGTTCCTGCCCATTACATTGCTCCCGTCACAGTTGCATCGCAGCGCATCCCGCTGCAGCCACCGGTCCGTTGAACAGTTGCGACGTGCCATGGAAGAAATCACACCCGGGATTGCAAGGTTGCGCTGACCACCACAACAACAATAATGACGACGACGGCGGCAACAACAACAACAACGACAGCAACACAGCCCAACACAGCACATCACAGAGTAGTACAGACCTGGTCCGCACCCACACCCACTCCTGTGCAGCCTGCTTGCCATTTATGTCAGTTGACGTGACATGCCTTCCTAATATGTTGTGGATCATCAACGAAGCTCAAGGAAGGAACCGTAATATAGGCCAGGTAGGTGGTTTTATGTATGTGCGTATCCCTCCGTACACTACATACTATGTGTATGTAGGTCCCTTATCTGTATGCATGGGTACAGTCTTTTCTCTCTCTTGTGCTCTCTTTCTCTCCATCCTTTTCAGCTCGTCGTCGTTGTCCTTGTCGCTGTAATCTTCCCATGGCCCTCTTAATGCTTCCTCCTCGTCTTCTTTCTCTTGATCAGCCCCTCCCCCCCCCCCGGCCTCGACTCTGTTGTTGTATACCTACCCTGCCTCCCTCAGTCCTACCCACCCCATGGGTCTATCCATGCTTATCGACCCTGGTCCGTCCCAATAAGTCCATCTCATCTCAGCCTGCCCATAGTAGTAGTCCCATGCTCGCCAATAGCCGCATAGCCTGATGGCCTCGCACGTCGCTCCGTCTTGACTCTCAATTCTCGCGCCGCCTTGCCCCCTCCTTCTCCCTCTCTTCCTCTCGCTCTCATCCCCTTTCGCTGCCATTGTTACGCCAATTGGCCTCGGATGTAGTGCAGATGTTCCATCTTCCACGTCGCTGAGATACCCGTCCTACACGGCTGTTCTCTCATCCATTTTGACTCGCCACTTGGCTGTTGGCAGTTGTCCATTCATTCCCACCTCATCTTTGCTTTACTACTCGACTATCCTACACTCACCTCGGTTCCTTTGTCCTGTCTCTGTCTCGACCCCGTCGGCGTACCATTGCTTTTCCCGCCTCGGCTGGTCTCCAAACCTTCCAATATACTACCGGCCGTCCAGTCCTGTGCGCTCAGTGAGTCTCCTCCGGATGTCTCTTACGGACTCGAGTCTTCCAGCCGATCGCTGTGAGAGAAGCAGACTCGGAAGAAAAGAAGGACGAGGTCCGGAGGAAGAAGAAGAATAAGAAGAGGCTGACCACAAACTCTCACCCCCACCACCAGAATCGCGCGAAACAAGCCTTCACACGCCATTTTCCCACCCGCTTCTCTTACTCCCTCCCTCACTCGACCAACATTTCTTCTCCGACATCCCGCCCTCTTTTGTCACACAAACGGTGCATCGGTGTCGCTTTGCAATTTGCACACACTTCAATCCTTCCAGTCCAATTTGTTTTTTTCTTTTTTCTTTTTTCGCTTTCTTCCGCTTCTTGGACCCGAATCTTTCAATCCTGCTTAACCTAACCCGGGGTCGCATCCCATCTCGGTTCTTCCAAAACTCAATTATCGAATGGCATGTCGACCTAAAATCCCTGTTCACCTATTGCAACGCCAGTGCAGTCTTGTCGTCCGTTGTTGAGACTGCCGGTCCCCCGAACCACCCTACTATCCTTTCCTTTGCGGCGTTAATTCTAGGTCTCGGCAGCCAATCGGTTTCAAAATTAGATTCATCGTCTATATTGCTTCGCTTTTAAGGTGGATACTCTTCCTAAAACGTTCCCGAACACCACCTTCCTCCCCTCTTACACACCACCCTATTGTTCCCCCTGGGGTCTGTGGACTTCATGCTGCGTCGGACGCAGCATCTCGCCATCCTTCAGAAACGGCATTGTGCGAAGCCCTCATTGAATTCTTTTCAACTTCTCGGAACACCGCCTTTCGCGTCTCATCTGCCCACCTCTTGGACGAGACTCGCTGCGTCTGCAGCGCTGGAGCAGACTCAGCAACAGTGCCAGCGTTAACACGTTGTAAGTTTCACCCGTCTCATTTCATGCATCTTCTATCCAGTCGACACCATCTTTCGGTGCCCGCCTCCGCCAATGTGCCTCTTCCGTAGCACCAAACACTAATTAAGAAGTCAGTGGGGGGTCCAAAACCGTCAATGCGCCTATGATCGCGCGGTCGGACTGCTCTGCTGGCGCCTGTCATTTCCACTCGCAGCAAGGAACCCTGGGTCTTAGTTGTGTGCTTTGATCCCTACTTTCGACCCTTGCCCCTCGAAATTATAGCCCATCAATCGCTACTTGACTGCTTACACCTCTTTCTCGAGGGGTTCAATTGAGGACCGCCGCGCCCTCGCCGTCTCTTTGTGAACTTTCCCTCCCCTCCGTCCGTCAGTCAGTCAACATGGCCGCCTGGGAGACAGAGGACGAGTCCCACGGCGATGCCGCCATGACGGCATTGCCTACGCCCCGAGACACGCCCTACAGAACACCATCGCGAAGCTCGAGAAAGTCCAGACGCTCAGTCACCCCACCGAATGGGAAGGAAAGCCCTTCACCTCCTCCCGTTCCGCATAACGATAAGGGTTCCAGACGCTCCTCGCGGAATATGACCAACGACGATGGCATCAGCGTTCTTGATCCCCGCCGTTTCACGCCGACTCTACACGCCAATCTTGTTGCTGAGATCCTGAACCTGAGGCGGGATCAAGAAGAGAAGGCGAAGCTCATCGAAAACCTCGAGGTATCTTTGCATGCCTCGCGTCAGGAGCAGGAGTCACTCCAGGAGTCGATGGCTACTACCGGAAAGGAAAACCGTTCGTTGAAACGTCAGTTAGCTCTTCTCGAGGGCGGCACGTCCTCGGCACTTGGCGAACTAGCACGCCAGAGGGACGAGGCCGTTGACTCCATCACGGAAACGAAGAAGAGACTTGAGGCCGCCCAGAGGAAGGTTCGAAGCCAGGAAGAAGACTCGCAAAGGGTCCACGACCTATGGGCCCAAGACAAGGACTCTTGGGAAGAGGAGAAGCGCAAGTATGAACGCAAAGTCCACGTTGCCGAGAGCCGCTTGAAGACGGTTTTGGACGAGGTCGCCGCCTACCAGGCTGCTCAGGCCAACCGCCACGACAGCGACGCAGAAGACCATATAGATAACGACGCAGCGAGCGTCCGAACCATGAGCATGACCAACAGCATCCGATTCTCCACCCAGCAGAGTCCCGGCAAGGTCTTCAACGGCAACTCCCTAGCCGACGAACTAAACCTCAATGGTGATGACGACTGGCAAACCGACGACGGCGGACGCGAGAGCGCCATGTCGAGTTACCGCCATACCCGGACATTTAGTCGTGACAGCGTCCTGTCGAGGATTCACCGCAGGAACCAAAGCTTTGAAAGCCCTCAGCGTCCGGGAAGCGTGACTCGAGGCAGACTCTGGATGAACCAGCCAGTTTTGGAGGCTCTGGAAGACGGTATCCAAGAAGACGATGAGAAACTCGTTTCTCCCCCGCCGCCGGCACCAAAGTTCACCTACACAGACTCAGGCATCCAGTACTCGCCTCCTCCGTCGCCCAAGCTAGAGCCCGTTCAGCCAACCACTCTCGAACCCACCGTCAAGGTAGATAAACTCCCCGAAGCCGAGGCTGCTCCCCGAGGTGAGTGGGAGGTGGAGGCCAATCAACGGCGCAAACGGGTCTATGTCAGCCGACCACTGTCTATCGAGCCGCGCCCCTTCAACCACATGGTCTCAGCTGGCTCTCAGACGGTCGAAGAACCTCTGAGCCCTCCCAAGACACCCAAATCACCCTACAGGTCTTTGACGCCGCCTCTGCCTGAAACTCCACCTTCTATCATGGTTTCGGCCTCGACACAGACGGACCAGCCCGCGGAGAAGCTGCAGATGGCTCCTCTATTACGGCCGGTGCAGGAGCTCACCATCCCGAGCATCAGCATCATTCCGCCTTCAAGTCGTCCAACGACACCAAGAGAGCCCCGGCTTCCTCAGTACTTCAAGGATTTTGGCTGCCAGGTATCGATCGTCTCCTCGATTGAGATGCGGTCCACTTCTGCCCAGACAGAAGAGATCCTCTCTGATAAACGATTGGCAAATCTCCCTGTTCATTTGCGCCCCTCGGCGATCACGTCAAGACCCTCGTCACCCGTCATTGCCACCGCTGTTTCAACCAATGACGACCAGCACTTTACTCCTGTTCCCGGACATCTGCCGCCGAGAAACCCCAAGAGACTCACTACCAAGCGCAGCATCACCGACATGCCCTCGTCGCCACCGGCTTTGCCCGACGTCGGAGAGCAAACCCGTGACGCATACCCCGGTAACAACGACGACGGGCCATTGTCACACAGCGCGCCCATGCGACGACCGCACCGCATCAGCAGCCTTTTCGCCGGGTTCCAGGACGCCCAAAGCTCTGACGAGCAGGACGAGTTCGATGCTGATGTGAGCGACTCCGAGTACCGAACCGCGCTCTCCGCTCCCGGAATGAGGATGACGGATTCCCGAGCTTCCAACCGCACATCCGTAAGCACATTCGCGGCATCGCCGGAGCAGGCCAAGATGGCCGCACCTAGCAGGACCTCGGCGCGTCCTTCTGGAACCGAGGGCTACAGCCACACCCCGGAGAACAGGGAGACAGCCGCCAAAAGGCAGCCAGCAAAACCTACGGCCCGGGGTTACGAGAAGTCGACTGCCGGCTCGTCGGGTAAGCAAAATGTCATGCGGAAGGCAGCCATGATCCAGAGCGGCATCGCCAGCCATCAGGGCCGCCCCAGGAGCCCCAGTCTCCCGGAGCCCCGCGACCCTCCCTTCCCTATCCCGACTCGGGCCAGTTCTCGACGACCGCCATTCAGCGCCAGCGCTCCGAGCGATGGCCGGGGGAGCCCAACAAAGATGGACGCGCCGTGGCATCGCCGGGGCGTCGGCCGCAGCCATTATCGTGCCGGCAGCGTTCGCAAAGTTCGGTCAGCGGCCGCCATTCCTCGGAACCAGAGAAACCGTAGACAAGGCAGCAGATCCCCGCCGCCCTTCTCGGAGACAACCGAAGGGCCAGAGAGCCCGAAACTGCCGCCCCTTCCCTACAACGACATCACTACCCCTCGGCACGACGCGAGCTCCCACTACAGGTCACACAGATCGAAGCTGTCGACTACAACGGCCCAAACCACCACCACGGAGCACAATTCTGTCAACGGGGCTTCCAATGGCCCCTCGCAAGCCACGGGGGTTGTCGACGCTATCGCGCAGACCATGGTTGGCGAATGGATGTTCAAGTACGTCCGGAGGCGCAAGTCTTTTGGAGTGCCCGACAGTGGCAGGGACGACTCCAGCAACGACCGCCACAAGCGATGGGTTTGGCTAGCACCCTATGAAAGGGCCATCCTCTGGAGCAGCAAGCAGCCCTCGTCCGGCAGTGCCTTGATGGGCAAGTCTGGCCGGAAATGTAAGTGAAAGATCTCGAGCCTTCCGCGGGAAGTTGGCTAACGATGAGCAGTGACGATTCAGTCCGTACTCGATGTCAAGGATGACAATCCCGCTCCCAAAAACCAGGGTGCTGTGTTCAACCGTTCGATCCTTATCCTGACTCCTCAACGAGCGTTAAAGTTTACTGCTACGTCTTCCGAGCGACATTACATGTGGCTCACGGCGCTTTCTTTCCTGGCACACTCGACCCAGGCGATTCCAGAAATCCTACCTTCTCCTCGGCCTGTGAAAGAGACAGTAGTGCCGGATATTGAGCCGCCACCACCAGCCAGGCGGCCTGCCATCCGTGACTCCATCCGGCTGACGAAAAGCAAGGCTCCTATGATTAGGAACGGAGGACCAGCAAGCATCCCCAGTGTCCGCAGCGCTCCCAGTGTTCCCAGCCTTCCTAGTGTTCCCAGCGTTCCTAGCGTTCCTAGCGTTCTCTCGTCCAGAACAGGCGACACATCCGGTTACAGACAGGCGGAAACATTCCCACCTATGCCAAGCAACGCTGGCAATGGTCATCAGCGCGAACCATCGGCAGACGCTGCTGAACCACCCTTCATCCCCCGATTCATTGAACGGTCCAACCAGGCCATGATTCACGGACGGAAGCGAAGCAACACTGGAGGCCATGTTCCGCCACCACTCTCTTTCCGTGGCTTTTCTGGACCGGGCAGCGTTGGACACAGCTACACCAACAGCAATGCTGGCAATAGTGTCGGCACAGCAGGATCATCCGACATCTACCAGTCTCAGCCATCACAAGGCTCGAGCAGACAGAGTTGGGCCCTCAGCACGGTTGGCTCCCAGCGTACTTCAGAGGCCTCTTCGCGGCCCGCTGGCAACTTCTTTGACGCCATCGGCACGGTGCGGATGGAGGCTTTCATCAGTCCCCTGGCGCACTCGGGTTTTGACAGAGATCCCGATGAGCACGAGGAATACCGATACCGAGCCCGAAGGCGGAGCAAGGAGATTCGACGCCGGCAAAGCCGCAGCCGCCACCGCGATAGCTACAGTTCTCGTGGCACGCGTGGCACAGACGGCTACAATGTTGGTGACTACTTCCGAGATGACCCTTTCAAGGGCTTCTAGCCGCGGGCGTGTTCAGTCACTTGTATCGTTTCTTGTTGCGAACGGGTTGGACCAGAGCGCGCGCGTGGGACTGCATTCATTCGATACCCAATTGTGTATTATTTATTTTTCGTGTGTAAGGTATGTATGTGGGTTGGCTAGGAGGAACCAGTCCTTAGGGCCACGGTGCTTGGAGTTGGAGAGATGTTGGGAAAGCGGCATGTGACTGCCAGTATGTCGACAAGATATTTTACCTCTGGTCAGGCCATCGTGCCCCAGGTCGTAGGGGCATCATGGGAACGATGCCGGTGTATTGGAATTGTTGATACAGTTGATTCACATGAATGTTGTCTTCGCTACTGTATACAGCCCCCGTAGGACAAGCTTTAGTCGATCAAACACCGTTTAAGATAGGTCTCTATCTCGTTTCGTATGTGATGGGGGTGGTGATGACTGCATACAGTGAATGCAATGTGCCGTCCCAGGATGGCCGGGGGCTAAACTTCAACCAGAGTTTTGGGATCGAAACCCTAACAAAACTTGTACCTGGACAGACTGCGTTGCCATTGCCGGAAAGCACACCCACTGGCCGGGACTGAGGAACCCAGCCCGCCCGCTCACAGCATCCACATGCCAAGATAAAGAGAGAAAAGAAAGTGAGAAAAAGACAAACAGAAAAGAAGCAAGAAAAGAAGTTGTAAAAAGATTACGAAACGTACAACCTGAATAAAGCCTCGGGATCTCCAGAAGCCTCTTAACTCTCCCGCAAAACCTTCTCATTTCCCAGCTGCGGCTTTCTTCTGTGTCCTCATCCACTTCCGCGGCTTGCCCTCATCCAGGTCGCCCTCGCAGATTCGAGGCCGCATACGGGGGGGGTTATACCTCGCCCCGCACCTGGGCGCGGAGTTCTCGGAGAATTCGGCGAGCTCCGCCACGACGTCCGCAGACATGAGCTGCGGAAACTCGGAAAAGCTGCCTCCCCCCACGACACCGGGGGCCGGGACGTTCTCGGCGAAGGGGATGGCCGCCACGGCCTCCCGGAGCCTCCTGGCGGGCCCGAGGTGGCGGAACCATGGCGACGCGAGAGCGGCGAGGCGGGCGCGGACCTCGACGTCTGACGCGATGGGCACGAGCTGTTGTGTTCCGGCTCAGCCGGTCAGTCAGATTCATACGCGAAGGTTTGAGGCGCGAGGCAGGGTGGCGGGGTTTACTTAGATCCCGGAGCAATTTGATGACTGATATCTCACGCGACAGGATCGATTCCTGGATCTTGACGGCCTCGATGGCGACGACGTCATTGTCCAGGTCCATCGGCTGGTCGACAGAACTCAAGCAGCTCGTTCCAGGCCGTGCACGCGCTCTGCAGGCTGTGGTGGAGGCGCCAGCGCTGGAGGCCGTCGAGGTGCTTGTCGGCGATGCACCTGGCGTGGTCCCATAGGCACTGGGCTACGCCGAGAAGGACGCCCCTCGGGGATCTGGAGAGGTCCGAAATCGGGTTTCTAAGCGCTCGAGAGAGTATACGTACTGGTGGGCGGAGGCGGGAAAGGAGTAGAGAAAGGGGTTCGGGATGTCTGAAGGGGGTTTTGCTTACAGCCCTGCACTCGTTTCCTTCTTCCTTGCAGACGACGCAGAGCTCCCCCGACATCGCTCGAGCAGCATCGGAAGAAAACGAGGCGGTGGAGGGAGCCAACGCATGCTATACAGGGGACTTCCGTACATTCGCATGCCCTGGAATCCGTAGGTGTCGCTAAACGATTTCCCGAGCTCATGCTGGATGTAGGACAGACATCGTAGTGATCGGTTAAGTTTCCCTCACTGGTTGGGGGGGGGGGGAGGGGTTGAAATTTGATAATGGGTTTGCAGAAGAAAAAGTCGCAGGCTGTTAAGGCAAATATTGGTGATGCTGCGGAGCATATTCAATGATGGGTGGACGTAACAGATGATATATCGCGAGCGTTAGAGATTGTTATATTGGTAGGGTGGCGGGATATCATAGCATAGAACATGAAGCCTGGAGGACACCTATTTCATCCGCGAATGACTAAAGCACAGCTGGTAAAGTCATTGGAAAGCGCTGGTTTCATAAGCCGCTCATCCCAGCGCAAGCTCCGGTGCTGATACAGGCCGGTGTCCCGAAGGTTCTATACTCGGAGGAAGTCGAATTACGGGGCCGTTCTCCGGGGGGGCACCGACCCCGCATTCCAGCGCAGTGCACCCCACTAAGAAATTTCACCCCTCCACGCAAGCTTGAGCTACATGGTACAGTGAATGACGTGCCAGCCTCCAGCCGAAACCCGCCACAGCAACGCTCGCAAGTACTTGCGCTACATCTGAACCTTCCCACAACTTCTCTTCGGCGGACAAACCGACCCCTTGCCACGAATCCCCTACTAAGAAACGATCGACCGTACTCCCCCACGACCCTCTCGACCGCCCCTCCTCTTTCACGTTGACACGTCGACGTCCTTCCTTTACGCCCCTCCCGCCGCACGGGGAGACCGCCCAGTCAAGAAGTCCTCTCCCCGTTCAAGTACAGGTCGGCAACAGCCACGATGGAGGCCGAAACGCTCGAACAATTGCAGGCGCGGCACCGCAAAGAGCAGCGCGACCTCGTCGGGCGCATCACCAGCAAGAAGAAGAACGCGACCAAGAAGACGCGCAAGGGCGTCAATGAGGAATGCGCCGAGCTGGAGAGGCGGCTTAAGGAGCAGCAAGAAGAGGAGCTCGCAGCCCTGATCGGCGGAGGCGCGACCGCCGATGCAGACGCCGGGGAGGAGGCGGACGTCGCCACAACGCAGGACGACACCGCCGCCGCCGCCGCCGCCGCCACCACCACCGAGATCGCCGACAGGCTCAAGGAGACGTCCCTCTCGGAGCCCGCACCGCCCACATCGCCGGCCGGAGACGAGGCCCAGACACCGAGCCAGGGACAGGGCAAGAAGCGTAACAGGCAAAAAGAGCGCATGGCGCGGCGGGCGGCGGAGCTCGAGGCGGCCGCCGTCAAGGCCGAGGAGGAGGCGCGGAACATGACGGACCACCGCGGCGCCGAGAAGACGTACATGCTCAAGGAGTTCAAGACGCACTCGCTCGCCGAGAAGGAGATCGCCCCGGACGGGCACTGCCTCTTCTCGGCAGTGGCGGACCAGCTCGCGCACAAGGGCATCCCGCTGGGGGCGCCCGCCGACGCCGCGGCGGGCGACGCGCAGCGGCAGCAGCAGCAGCAGCAGCAGCAGCAGCAGCAGCAGCCGTACAAAGTGGTGCGGCGTGCGGCGGCGGAGTGGATGGCGCGCCACCCGGATGACTTTGCGCCCTTCCTCGAGGAGAACCTGGAGGCATACACGCGCAAGATCCGGGACACGGCCGAGTGGGGCGGGCAGCTGGAGCTGGCGGCGCTGGCCAACGTGTACGGGGTCGAGATCCGGGTCGTGCAGGACGGGCGGACGGAGAGGATCGGGCCGAGCGCCGCCGGCAAGGAGCCCGGGGCGGAGAAGGAGGAGATCTGGCTGGCGTACTATCGGCACGGGTACGGGCTGGGCGAGCACTACAACTCCCTGCGGAAGACGGCGTGATGGTCGGTTCATCGGGGCCATTGAGATAGCGTAGAAGAGCGGTAGAGAAAATTCACGGGTTGTAGATGACGGATATTTTTCTATGTACGACATAGTCACAGGGGGAGGGCGTCTCGCGTGGTATAGACAGACAGATACAAACACAGACAGACAGACAGACAAAAGGCACCGGCGAGTACTGCGAGCATCAATGACTCCAGACGTGGATCCAATCGCGCACCGTGCCGTCCTCGTTCATGCCGGCCCTGTGCGTCCTGGCGGGCTTGACGAGCTCGAGGCGCCTGAGGCCGTCCTGGCGGAAGGGCGGGACGACGACGACATCGGCGGCGTGGCCGGCCTGCGTCGAGGAGGAGAACTCGAGGGGCTCGCCGGGGCGGGAGAGCAGCGCGAGGTAGACCTCGGGCGTCAGGCCCCACGGCGGCCCCGGCAGGGAGAGCGGCTTGCCGGAGGGGAATTCGAGGCAGACGAGGCGGCCGGCGGGGCCGAGGAGGGCGGCCATAAGAAAACAAAAAAAAAAAAAAAAAAGGAGGGCGCAGAGGAACTGGTTCCGCGCACGTTAGTTGGGGTCCATTCCTCACGACCCGACATCCCGTGAGGGTCCCTGGGGGGGGGGGGGGGGTCTCGCACAGTGTAGTCAAAAATGAGGTCGAAAGCCTTCTCGCGGCCCCATGCTTCCAGCCAAGAGTCGGAGAAGAAGTCGCCCGAGAGCCAGGTCACGGTGCCGGGCTCGGCGCCGTTCGGGTGACGGACTCTGTACACGTCGTCGAGCTCCCCCGCCGTCCCGGATCCGAGCACGGCCGCGACGGCGGTTTGGTTCTCCTTGGCTTCGGCGATGGCCGTGGGCGAGAAGTCGAGGGCGAGGACGTCGTAGCCCAGGTTGGCCAGGAGGAGAGCGTCGTGGCCCTTTCCGCAACCCGGCACCAGCGCCGTCGGCTTGTTGCCGGCGGACCGTTCCCGTTCCGTCGGGGGGTGCGGCGGCGGCGGCGGCGGGACCAGATCGGGACGGGTCGTCAGAAGATCGAGGAGGGCGAGGGAGGGGCCGCGGCGGTCCCAGGGCGTGTACTTTTCCTCCCATAAGGCGGACCACTTCTGGCCGTGGTCCGAGAGCGGCGCGCCGGAGAAGGCCGTTGAGAGCTTGTCGTCGTGATTTGCCATCGTGGCCGAGCGGGTTTATCGCGGCGTGGCTGGTTTTGTCAGTCAGTGTGTTGCGGACCGATGGAGGGGTAGCGGCTATGGTGGAGTCGCAGCTCTCACCGGGATGAGTTCGGACGCTGGATTTGTTGCAGTTGCTGCAGTAGAAAAGAAGGGGGAAAAGGAAGAAAGAGAAAACCCCACCCGAGGAAAGCAAATAAAAATCGCCTGGATTTCTCACTGGGAAGCTTGGGTCTAACTAAGATGAGAGTGAAGTCATCATCTCGAGCTGGAGCCGGAGCTAGTGATTACCTATCGCCTCCGAGGAACCCACCCTCGGCGCGCCGCGACGAAAACGAATTGCCCCGCGTTCGAGGACGGCGACGTGATCCCGGTCCTCTGTAGATAACCATGCGTCACACCTTGCTTGGGAGAATCAGTAATCGGATGCGAACGGAGTCCTCGTCATCCTGGCGTTGAGAAGCGGAGTCCAATGGGGCCACAGGGCGTTCCCAGCAGGGGCATGAGTCGGTTGCATCACTATAGACATGGCGGTGGCCGATGACGGGTGGAAGAAGCCTGTGAATTTTTATTTTACTTTATTTACAGAGATTCGAGGTTGAGCAGCTGGTTCTTGTCACGGAATGCACCGACCCGGAAAGGATTGGCACGTATCATTGGCCAGAGAAAGCCCCGGTATGTACCGTATATTCAAGTATATACCCAAGAGGCGGCATAGCGCTCGCTCTACGGCCCTGTGCGAGCTTTCTTGCGGCGCAAGTGAGTTTTCTGTTTTTAGACAATGCATCTTCAAAACTTATAGGAACTAAACAAAGATGGTGATTGAATTTGATTACTTATGGGAGCCGCGGTGACGTGTGAGTGTAAAATATAACAACCCGAGGCTAAAACCAGTAGCATCAACACCTAGGCGCCTCGAGTGCATTCGGCCTTCTTTCGGGCCTCGAGCCGCCGAGTCTCGACAGCAAAAGCGGGGTCGACCCGTCCGGAGGGCGTCAGGCGACAACCAGCTCTTTTCCCCATGCCGGCATCCCCGTCCGCAGCGCCATCGCCTCTCCGCCCCCCTCTTCACAACGCTTCTCATTTCCCAATTCACTTTTCCTCGTCACCCTCAGGACCCAGGTGCTCTTTTTCTTTTGCCACCAAGCGCCTCATACTCGGGCGCAAAATCCAAAACAGACAAAGAAAAAAACAAAGCATAGCAGGGGATGGCCGACCTCTCAACCTGCCCGCCCCTGACCCGGGCGTCGGTCGTGGAGGCCCACAAGCTCGTCAGGCCGCACATCCACTACACCCCCGTCCTCACAAACAAGACGCTGACGGCGCTGGCGTCGACGCCCCGGAGCGCCGAGGACCTCGACGGGACCAAGTGGGAAGGGCGCACGCCGGCCAAGCCCGTGCTCAGGCTGTGGTTCAAGTGCGAGAACCTGCAGCGCATCGGCGCCTTCAAGGTCCGCGGCGCGTTCCACGCCGTCGAGCGGCTGAAGCAGGAGCCCGACTGGCTCGAGGGCGGTGGGAAGGAGAAGGGCGTCGTCACGCACAGCTCAGGTACGGCGGCCCCGTTGCGCAATCGCGCCCGAGACAACAGAAGAAAAAGGGGGGAAGAGAGAGCATGAGAGGTATCAATGTGCAGTCGACAAAAGGCTGACGAGACCCCCCTCCCCCAGGGAACCATGCCCAGGCTCTCGCCCTCGCGGCCAGAGAAAGCGGCATCCCCGCGCACATTGTGATGCCGGATATCTCGCCGCCCAACAAGATCGCCGCGACGCGCGGGTACGGCGCCAACGTCGTCTTCAGCGGCAGCACCTCGGTCGAGCGCGAGGCCGTCGCCAACCGCGTCATCGCCGAGACCGGCGCCCGCCTCGTCCCGCCCTACGACCACCCGGACATCATGCTGGGCCAGGGCACCATGGGCCTCGAGCTGCAGGAGCAGGTGCGCGACCTCATGGCCGCCGGGCACTCGGCCGCCCGCCCGACCTTCAACTCGACGGGCCTGCCCCGGTCCGACGGCGGCGACGGCAAGGGCCTGGACGCCATCATGACGCCGTGCGGGGGCGGGGGCATGCTCTCGGGCGTCGCGCTCAGCTGCGAGGGCACGGGGATCAGGGTGTTCGGCGCGGAGCCCGAGTTCGAGGGCGCCGACGACTGCAGGCGCGGCATCGAGGCCGGGAAGCGCGTCGAGGCGGTCAAGACGCTGACCATCGCCGACGGCCTGCGCACGCCGGTCGGACGGCACCCCTGGGGCGTCATCTACGAGCGCCGGCTGGTCGAGGCCGTGTTCGCCGTGTCCGAGGACGAGATCAGGGCGGCGACGAGGCTCGTGCTCGAGCGCTTCAAGCTCGTCGTCGAGCCGAGCGGCGCCGTGCCCCTCGCCGTCGCGCTGTTCAACGAGGACTTCAGGGCCATGGTCGAGAGGGAGGCGGGCGAGGCCGGGTGGGACCTGGGGCTGGTGTTCAGCGGCGGCAACGTCGCGATGGAGGGCCTGTTGAAGATATTCGCGGCGTGATGGGCTTTTTTTGTATTTGATATAGGGGGGGTAGACGGGAGAGACACGACTATTGAGCGGGTCCTGAGGGCGGCTTGTCGTCTTGGAGGCGTTAGGAAGCATAGATGACGTCTTTGCCCGACTCGGTCATTTATTTACGCATAGATGTGGTTACGTAGAACAGTCTTGGACGCATTTCGTTTCCTCCGAGGGAACGTCCGACATCAATCTTCTTTTGGAAAGAAGTGGACGTCTTCCCCCCTTCGCTGGGGCTTTCCGGGCAACGGCATCCGGGGGGGGGGACTTGATCTGCTGATCCGATGCGAGCCGTATCATGCCATTGGAACCGGGGACCCGGGCAGAGGCACCCTACATACCACCGACTTTGAATCATGGTTCATTGTGTATTTCATCATTGCAATACCTGCAAGTTGGACCTCATCTTCCACGGCCTGGTTGCACCGGGCATGGCACGTTGCGCAGTCGTTACCCCGGCGGATGCCGCGGGTGTCTCGGCCCCGCTTCTCCGCGGAGATACTGGATCGGTGCCCTCTATACCCGAGGTCGCACCGACAGAGGAACGTATGGGAGCACACGCCCTCGAAACCCCCCCTCTCCCGCTGGAGCCGCGTTCGTTCTCGGAGATCATCCGTATGACAGACGCACGTCAGATCTTCTTTTGTCTTACCTACCTAGGTACCACCAGCTTAAACTCTGCTTACGCACAGTCAGTCTCACTCGTGCGCGCGCCCGTCTGTCTAGGTCATCCCCCCCCAGACTATTAAACACCCTCCCCTCCTCTGTGTGAGACAGCATTTTGTCTCGCGACCCTCATGAGAAAAACAAAAACAACAACAACAAAAAGGAAGCTAAGCTGTTGAGGAAACGAGTAAGAACAAAGGGCCAAGTAAACAACCTAAAACATGTCGTCCTCCAGGTTAGTCTCGTGGTTTCCCCACCTCGAGACGCCCGTCATCATCAACGCGCCGATGCTCGGCTCGGCCGGCGCCGCCATGGCAACTGAAGTCCACAAAGCCGGCGGTTTCGGTAAGGACACCCGCCCCTCCCCCCATCCTCCTCCTCCCTTGGACTCAGGAGGGGGAGGGGGAGGGGGAGGGGGAGAGGGACAAAGGGGAGCTACGCTAGCTTCCCATCGTCGATCGGCCCGACCTGGAGACTGACAAGTTTTCGTCAGGTTTCATCGCCGCGGGATTCGACTTCTCAGAGTCCTCCGCCCAGCTGACGGAGCTGGAGGAGAACCTCGTCCGGGCGCGCGCGCTGCTCTCGCTGCCAGCCGCCGAAGGCGCCGGCGCCAGCGCCCTCCCTCTCGGCGTGGGATTCATCACGTCCCACGAGACGGCGACCCGCTTCAACACCAACGTGCTCCCCATCCTCGCCCGCCACCGCGTCGCGGCGGCCTGGCTCTTCGCCCCGCACCTGGAGACTAAGCCACACGGCGACATCATCGCCGCGCTCCGCCGGCAGGG